TAATTGGGACCAGCAATGAATTTGTGAACTTCCTTGAGGCATCTGTTGGGTAGGCCCCCAAGAAGTATCGGGAATCGCAAAATGCCCTACGAAGAAGAAGATATCAAACTTCTTTTTACTAGGTTTTTTTGGGAGACTCCAATGCAAAAAGCAGTGGGGTAGGGAAGTGTTTTTCTTATGGCAAGCATAAGGATTACCTTTAGTCATTTAAACCTATGCAAATATGGCGCATATGTAGGGATATCAACGGGTCCTGTGGGATCGGGAGCTCCTCTCCATCAATCATGGGAACAATGATCCTCGTGAAGATTTTGATGGGAGCCAGATTTTGCCTTTCATCTCTGTTTCCTGTGGGAAATGGGGATCCTCGCGACGATCCCCATTCTCCACCAATTAATATCAAATTGCTCGCAAATGGCTCTAGCCACAGCAGAAGATGGCTTTGGCCACAGCACCAAATGGCTTTGGCGGCAACAGAGCAAATGGATCCGGCAACAGTAGAGTAAATGGCTTCAGTAATAGCAGAGGAGATGGATTCGACAGCAAGCTTCAACAGCAACAGCAGCAAAGCAAATGACTTCAGCAACAGCAGGAAAGCAGATGGATCGATCAACAGCAGAGTAGATGGCTTCAGCAGTAGCAGAGGAGATGAATTTGACAGCAAGCTTCGACAACAGCAATAGCAGAGGAAACTGAGAAGGTGAGATGGAGGTGAGAGATGGGTGAGCCGCAGCCAGAGAGATTGAAAATGAGACCGTGAGCGATGAGAATTAAAATAAATTAGGGTGATGGTTAAATGTAAGAGGAATGGATTGGGTTGGGTTAGATAGTATTGGGTTAAGTTTAATTGTAATTGAATTTGATTTGGATTTGAGTTTGAATTTGAGTTTGAGTTTGGGTTTGAATTTAAAGAATAAATTAATTTTAAAATAAAAAAAAATTTTTTTTTTTTTGTGAGGATGGGAATCCTCACGAAGTGGGTAAAATTTCCCGCGAAATTTCGTGGGGAGAAAATGGTCCATGTCCTCACCCCGCAAGGAGGAATATTCTTCTCCACCCAGTACCTGTGGTAGGGATCCCCACGAAGCTCAACGGGGAACAAGGAGAATTGCCATCCCTACGCATATGGGTGTTTCAAACAAGAACAAATTTGAAACTCCATGCAGGAGGTCACTAAGTTCGAACCTTAAGATTAGT